TGAGATCAAGGTTTCAAGCAATTAAAAAACATATATAGGCACTACAGTGGAGCATGGCCCTCCATTAAATACCCTTCACCGCCCTATTGTTATTCATAAAATGACTTTTGTAAATAAGGGGTTACAGGGACAGTGATCGAAACATTTCGAATAGCTGTCGTCCTTGGGCCAGAATATGTTGATGGGCCATATTTCATCAAAGTCTCTCAAATACGTAAGTTGAAGACGAGAATAACGGACGGACAACCTTGGATCGTTATAATAAAAGCTGTGTGTCTTTCTAATCATCTTCTAGGTGTTGCATACATTTGCACAAACTTAATATACCACAAGTGCCAGAAGTAGTAGTAGTATAAAAAAAGTTGATAAATAATTGCTAAACTGCTTCGAATTTCTTCTTCGAATATTCTTTTATACCATCAAACATTTTAATCTGCTAATGTCTGTCTGTACCATTATTTAATCTAATTGTTTTGCATATTGTTGAGCACGAAAGGAAGCATCCAACTGTAACAAAGAACACCAACAATTGAGGGAAGTAGGAGTTCTCTTCAAGCATAACCTCAATTAATGCTTTGGCTTCAATACGATAATTTAATAATCAATGAAAAACGTAGTAGAGGGCATCAGCTTGTCTTTGGATACCCTAAACCATCGCTCGCAATATATTTATTCATATGACGACTCTTCAAATGAAACGATATATGAAAAGTGAATAAGAAAATGGACTGAACCGAACCATTTCAAGTAGTTCTCATCCTAGAACCAAAGCACATCGATTTGCCAAAATTCATCAAAATATATTGAAAACTACGAGCTGTAGGTTGAGCACAAAACTATCAGACAGACAGACAGACAGTTAAACAGACGAACTTATTCAGAATTGCGTCTGGACCGGTCGGTATAATAAAAGGTGACTTTAGCTCAAATACTTCAAAGTGTTGTACAAATCCGCACAAACTTGATATAACCACTTGCAAGAACTTCAATAAAGTTCAGCCATACAAAGCATGGTAAATAGCGGTAACAAAAAGAGCAATCTACAAAGTCGATCGAGCGCAAGAAGTAACAAAAGTAGATAGTAACAGTAGGCTACAACGGCAACATATTGTAATCAATCAGCAATCGCTAAAACAAGTAGTGGTGGTAAGTTACAAAAGAGATTAAGTGCAAGCAGCAGCAAAAGTCAGTGCGAAGACAGCTATGTAATGGTAATTAAAGCGTACTATGATACCAAGAAAAAGCTAATAAGGAAAATTAACAGTGGACCACCGAGTGAGGTGAGTGTAATTAGGTGAGTGAGGTGAGTGTAATTAGCAGTACCTGAAACACAAAAATACCTAAATTAAGAACTAACAGTGGGCTGCAAATCCAGCTCTATGCAAATAATGGCAAAACTAAGTAGTCATAGAAAGCTACGAAAGTGGGTAAGCAATAGGAGTTCAAGACTTTACGTTACTCTCTTCACTGGTATAAACTATTGTGCAATATCTTAAAATTATTCAGAAGCAATTTTGCAAACGACAGATTTCTTCAACAGTACTAAGGTGTACAAGTACAAACCTCATAAAACCGATGGAGAACCTATACACATTTTTCAAGTGACCTATAATGACGAATAGATATGCGTATCGAATTGTTCACTTATAACTTGGATGCATAATTGTTTTCAGTATCTAAGTATGCAATAGCTTCGTAGGATCTAGAAAATACAAAAGCTTTATAAACTATATTTATGTAGATTAAAGTATTCCTATCCATCTTTATAGAACTCTCCCTGTCGCAAGGAAAAGCGCAGTCTGCAATTTATCATCAGATGTTAAATTTGAAAACCCTCCTCAAAAGGTTCGAGAATTATATTACCGAGAAAGTAAACCAAATAACTAGAAAATTATTAGCAGAAGCAGAGACTCAACGCGTCGAAATGGAAGAAACTATTTCACAGAAACTATGATATTTCTTCTGTTACTTCTTCTCATTTAACAGAAAGTATGATGTTTTTTCTGCCACTTCTATTCATTTAACAGACGAGAGAGATTTTTTATTCACTATTTTTCTTATTTATTAAAAGCAACTCTGTGCTCTCTCTATTCTCCTCATATAGTACAATACCTGTCGCTGCTTACGTGTAAAGCAATGAAAACCTATTCAAGAAATGTATTCTGATTTATTTTGCCCATTTTTTCATTCTTTTTTTGTCTTTAGGGAGCTTCGCAACATGTCTACCCTTATCTACTTGGACGCTTGGACATTTGGCTAGTGCAAACATTTACAAAAATTGGTATTAGCAAATTCATTCATAGCTCAGTCGCCCGTCCTACGGTCGGTACTCGACGTACTTAGACGTCAATAGTCGACTAGAAGAAAAAAATATGTGAAATTAAAGCTTGCCAAGAAGATAATACGCCAATTATTAGCGAACAAAGTGTGTTGCAAATTTCTATAAATTAATGAGAGTTTGGATATACAACATTCGACGTACGATGTATGTACGTATATATATTTCTTACCTATTTCGCGCAATATTTTAGCAAATTGGTCCATTGTCTATGGTTCCATTAGTAGATTAACTCTTAATATAAAAAAAAGAAAGGCGATACACTTCTTCAAACTCTTATTATATTATTTTAATATATTGCACATGAATATTAGTGATCTTAGAAAGATGACGATTTTTCGTGTTTTACCGCAGCAAATAAACTTTTTAACGATCGTTTTTTATTAAATAAATTTAAAATATTTTTGTAAATCTTAAGATTTCTTAGATGTTCATATAAAGCCGCAAAAAGTATCAAAGTAACTGCCATGAAAACAGATGTTTTACGATATACAGAATTGCCAGTGCAAAGATAAATAAAATTAAAAAATATTAAATTGAATAAGAAATTTTAATAAGTTCGACAAATTAATTAGACATTTTAACCACCCTGCTCCCCGATCCCTTGAATAAAAAGCATGAAAAAATTTCACAATCATTTTTATCATTTGCTTTAATATTTTCAAACAGTTTCAAGTTTATATGCAAAATTTAAAGCGATTGCTCCCACTGTAAACAACATAAGCAAAAGAAAAAAACACAGAAAGCTATCGAACTCACTGTCACAGTAATTCTAGTATTAAAGTTTGAGAAAAAAGTATACGAAGAATACCTGCTCATGAAATCCATATACATGACAAGAAGTAAATTACGTATTTATATGCGTTTATATGAAATATATATAATTTTTGGAAGAATTTCAATTGTCTGACGACGGCATGTTTACCTGTGAATAAGTGCTACAAATAAAATAAATTAAGAGAGAGGAAAAAAACAAAGTTATGGCCAAGCAGACTGTCACCACAAGCAATAAGTTAAGTCTCAACAATGAGGTCATAATACAAAATAACAATAGAAACGATAGGTCGATATCTGTATTGGCAAAAAAAAAAAACAAAAGCGCAGCTGTTTGAATAGAAATCAAAATGAAAGCAAGCAAGAAAAAAAAAGGGAAAGAAACAGAGAGAGATAGAAAGGTTTCCAACTCCCTTCAGTTAGAAACACTTATTTAACTTTTCTATTAAAATATTGCGAACCCTCCACCGACCCCGAATTTGCAAAAACATGAAATCACATGTGCCAGTAAATTGTGAATTAACTTTCTAGTCGTCCTTCACATATAAAAAGTAATATCATTAACTGGTGACGATAGCGCTTTTACTGTCTTGCATTTGGAAATTAAAATCGTGTTTACTTCCCATTTGCAATATTGCTTCCACTATTTTCAATTTGATGGGGATGATATATGTGTATAGGAGCCTAAAGAAAACAAACTCCCACACAATACAATACTTGCACTGGAAACAAGGATCATCATAAGAGAAATGTTATGATTAGCTACACTTGTACTAAAATGAAATTCGATGACATAATGTATTGAAAAGCATAAACAAAAGGAACAACGCATTAGCAGACAGATGGCCCGCAATAGCAGTAAACAGACTTCACAATTGTTTGGAATTTAACCGCAAGCTTCTAGCTTAATTTGTTTTCTTTGTGTCTAATTTATCCATAAATATTCCTTTGCAGTTTTGTCAAATAAAAAAGAAATTGATCGATAATAATTCACTCAAGTTATTTGCAATTTATGTGCAATATATGTGACTCCATAAAAAATTGTCGTTTAAAATATCTCTCGGCTTATTTTCGAATCAAACCTCCCTCCCCCTGCTGGCAGAAAAAAGACGAAAGGTGTAAAGAAGAATACACATCTTAGTAAAAGCGATAATCGCTTTTAGGGCTTTCTTTGTAAATAAGATAAAATGACTAATCAGGCTAAGCATAAGATTCGAAACCCTCCCTCAGCGACACCCTTTAATTGATTATATAATGATTCATTGGGTGAAAAAATCACGCCAAGGATCTAATGAGTATCTATGATGCTATATAAAGCCTTTGTCGTAGAGTTGGTATAAACTTTTCTCGATTTGAGCTTACTTCACACAACGGCATACACGTAGGTGACGTAAGCGGAAGTTCTCGTTATGTATATATACAAAAACAATTTGTTGTTGTTGACACTACATGCAATCAATTCGTATTTAGGCACCCATGCATTCATCCACCTATTTATAGAAGAGAAAATTCAGAGGAACACGAATCGGGTTCATTCAACTTTTGTTCCCGTTGAGTGCACGCAGCTAAACACAAATAGAATCAAACTATTTAATATTCTTCTGGTTTAAACTCTAGCGCATTTCTCTATGTATTTACACCAAGAAGATGCCTAATTAAACCACCACCAATAACAAAATGAACGAAAAAACATTGAAACATTTTCATTTCGTACTTCAATCAAATGCAAAATAGCCAGAGTTTTTATTCGTTTTCTTTAAAATTTATCATTTTCCTGTTATATTAAATTTTTATAGCTCGCTTGTGCATCGGATCGAATTTTTTTATCTTTTTTTCTTTTAATGTTCTCTCCTTTGTTTAAATAACAAAACAAAAAATGAAAATTTTTCAGCTAAGGTCATGAATCTCTCCCAAATATCTTTCTTAAGAATTTGTATAGCGCGGCTTTTGTTTTGCTTTGTATATAATGTCTACCAACATATCTAATACTCTTCTGCACCCTCGCCTTCGCCATCACCAGAGTCCATACCGACTTCTTCATAATCTTTCTCAAGTGCCGCCAAATCCTCACGTGCCTCTGAGAACTCGCCTTCCTCCATACCCTCGCCTACGTACCAATGGACGAAAGCACGCTTAGCGTACATTAAATCGAACTTGTGGTCGAGACGAGCCCAAGCCTCGGCAATGGCCGTGGTGTTGGACAACATGCAGACGGCACGTTGCACCTTTGCCAAGTCACCGCCAGGCACAACAGTGGGTGGCTGGTAGTTAATGCCGACTTTGAAGCCGGTTGGACACCAGTCAACGAATTGGATGGTGCGTTTAGTTTTAATGGTGGCTATGGCGGCATTGACATCCTTGGGCACCACATCACCACGATACAACATACAACAGGCCATGTATTTGCCGTGCCGAGGATCGCACTTGACCATCTGATTGGCAGGTTCGAAGCAGGCATTGGTAATTTCTGCTACCGATAATTGTTCATGGTATGCTTTCTCAGCCGAGATAACGGGCGCGTAGGTAACCAAGGGGAAATGAATACGTGGATAAGGTACCAAATTGGTTTGGAATTCAGTCAAATCCACATTCAATGCACCATCGAAACGTAAAGAGGCGGTGATGGACGATACAATTTGACCGATTAAACGATTCAAATTGGTGTAAGTAGGCCGTTCAATATCTAAATTACGTCGGCAAATATCATAAATAGCTTCATTGTCAACCATGAAAGCACAATCCGAATGTTCCAAAGTTGTATGGGTGGTTAAAATCGAGTTGTAGGGCTCTACAACGGCTGTAGAGACTTGAGGAGCAGGATAAATAGCAAATTCCAATTTGGACTTTTTACCATAGTCTACGGACAAACGTTCCATCAACAATGATGTAAAACCCGAACCAGTGCCACCACCGAACGAATGGAAAATCAAGAAACCTTGAAGACCAGTACATTGATCTGCTAATTTGCGTATGCGATCTAAAACCAAATCAACAATTTCCTTGCCAATAGTATAATGGCCACGAGCGTAATTATTCGCAGCGTCCTCCTTGCCTGTAATTAATTGTTCGGGATGGAACAATTGACGATAAGTGCCGGTACGTACTTCATCCACTACAGTGGGTTCCAAATCGACAAATACGGCACGGGGTACATGTTTGCCAGCGCCGGTTTCACTAAAGAAGGTATTGAAAGAATCATCACCGCCACCGACAGTCTTATCAGAAGGCATCTGCCCATCAGGCTGGATACCATGCTCCAAACAATACAATTCCCAGCAGGCGTTACCAATTTGAACGCCAGCTTGACCGACATGGATGGAGATACATTCACGCTACGAAAACAAAAAGAGAAAAAAGCAAGACAATTAATTTTAAGGTTAAAACTAGCAGAAAATGTGACAAAAATGATGACGTCAGTCAACTATTTATCGATTTAAGGGTGCGGTTTGCGCATATATCATGGCAAGAAAAAAAAATAATGCTGACTAAAAGAATTGCTAAAACTCTTGTACAATTTTTTTTTTTTTATCCCGTTAAATCAATTTTTTTCACTTTCTTTTTGACGATACCTAGATTTCTTTCGCTTAGTTGCGTTACTTACCATATTGATTAGTTGTTTTTTTTTCTCAGAAATTCAGCAGAAAATTACACACAAAATTCAACAAAACCACTACAAATTACAGCTAAACGATTTATGTGCTTTAGTTTTATGGCGTTCGGAGCAGCCGGCTATGAAGCTTCCCAAACTGAAAACGAATGATTGAAATTTCTATTCCGTACATCTATTTATACCCTTTTTAGAAAAACTATGACGACGCCTACTTCGCTTTTTTTTGTGGCTTCGCTTTTACTCTTTTTTTATTTACAATGATGCCACAGCTGAGATATTTTCTACATGGGAAAACAAAAAAAAAAAATATTTTAAAATTATAGTTAATTTTTTTACTCCGTTAGATAAAATAATGTTGGAAAATAATAATTTCGTGAAAATTTTCCATATTTTTTAATTTTATTACTACTTCAATTAATTTGACATGTTATGACTTTTCCGAAAATTTAATAGTTCACGTTGATTAGACTAAGCAAAGTTAGTGTTTATGCAATCATTTCATTCATTCATTTCGTACTCAAATATGCTTATATTTGGGACTAAGAGAAACTTTGTTTTTGGAAACATTACTTTACAAAATACGCAGCCCATGCAAACACGGCTTAACTTTTAAAAAATTATACAATCCAGAAAAAAATTCTTTACCTTATGTAACTGCACACAACTGTGGCAACTGCTTTATTATTTCTATGTCAATTTATAGAATCTCCCAGAATAATGTAATATCGTAAGTTTACTGTAGAACAGTATTGGATTGAAACGCTATATTCATACGTTTAAAAACATACCTGATGGGTGTAACTTGCAGCTATCGGAAAAATGTATAAAGGTAATACTAATAAATCGACTATGTTTTATTGAAAGATATTATAAAATTATGCAGTCTTGCTTTATATCAGTGTCAATGTACGCTACCTGGCTTTTCATTGACATATCAACATTGAGTATACTGAAAGACAAAAAGTTGCTGCCTATTAATTTTTGTGCCAGTCAGATTATTGTGACATTTTCAAACCATTGATTGCCGTCACGAATCTTTCTAAGGGACCTCTATAATTTCTAGTTCATTTTTTGTTAGATTCATTCTGGATTTTCTTGAAGGAATTAAATTTGTTTCGATGGTTTTCCTTTTAAACACTAGTGATAGAAAGATTTACGGTTCCTAATACTGAAAGTCAAAATATTTTCATCTATTGTTTATTGTGCCTATCAGAATATTGTGATGTGTTTTCAAAAAATTAATTTCCCCCAAGAATCTTCTTAAGACATATGTGCGATTTCTAGTTTATTTTTTATTAGATTCAGGATTTTTTCGAAGGAATTGAATTTGTTTTGATGGTTTTTCCATTAAATACTAATGATAGTACGATTTATAGTTCTTAAGGTGAAAACCTAATATTCTCGAGACATTCATTATTTTTACTGATTATTTTTACTTTTGCTTATCAATTCTAAAAAAATATGTTATAAGAAAATGGTGTTTCCTTTTCACATTGTATCGCTTGCGCAAAAAATTTGCTGTTATATTCGCTGGCGTACAATAAATATCGTAAATATGTATTTTGACATTATTAATAAAAAAAAAATGTATATTTTCCAAAAGAAAAAGAAGCAATTTTGAAAAGTTTAGCGAAATTTTTCTGTAAAGAATAAAGAAAAAATTTGATTTAATTTTTCCTCGAACAAAATTCAAAAGTTGTCAAAATGACTTTAACGAAAACAGTAGACCAAATGACTGTTCTTACTGGCGACCGGTCCAAGTATGTTTTAACTGTAAATGAAGTTTCAGGAAGCATTTTTGTATCTTTTTTTATCGCGCAGATTAAAAGATTTGCTATGTAATCGTCTGGCAGAATGCGGTTGGCGCGATGAGGTACGTTTAATGTGCCGCAATATTATTAAGGAGAAAGGCGTTAATGTAAAATTGGATCAATTAATAGCGGAAGTGACACCGAAAGCAAGAAGCGTTGTACCCGATGCCGTTAAGAAAGAACTTTTAATGAAAATTAAAGCCATTTTAGCTGCACAAGAAGGTCTTGATTTGTAGCCCTTTAAAATAAGTAAACAATTTATTTTGAATTTCCTTAAAATGGTTTATATTTATTCTTTTGTAGTTTGATTAATAAATTTTGATAAAAACCAATATTGAATCATGCGACTGAGTTACAGAGTCCACAATTGCTAAGAGGACATAATTTCATTTCGTCATCTCCTCCTATCCTTAGAACGGCTAACATGCCGTTTTCACCATGTGTAGAGATATGACAATGGAGGAACCAATAACCAGGATTATCAGTGAACAAACGTATAATAGTATAACCGTGGCCAGGTACTTGCACTGTGTCCTTAAGCGGGGCATTCATTAAACGTCTAGGCAATGGTTGTTTACGATCAATTTCCTCAATTTTTAATATGTTATCGGGTCCCAAGTAACCCATACCAACTACACGAAAAGTGTAACCATGTAAATGTATGGGGTGTGCAGCATCTGATTTGCTCGTTACTACCAATTCGATGTGTTTAAAAGCTGGTAAATGCAAAACATTCGTACACTGGCACAATCTCTTCTCGCAATTGAATCCCTTTGCTGTAAGCATTGTTATATTGCAAAATGATTTGCCTACACCAAGTTTGCGCGCCTGCAACAACGATACGTTTGGCATTATAAAACTAATGTCATCGAGTTGAAACAGTTTACTTTCACCTCTCGGTACAACATTCATACTTATGTATAAAGTTTGATCGGGTTTTTGCGGTAATTTATCTACTTTAGTTTCCAAGGCGTTGACATCCATTAAACTAAAACGTTTTCCTTTCGCATCCTGCGTTACATTGAAACCATTGAATTCAATTAGATTTTCATGATCTTTCTTTCGATCCACAGGTATATCTATTCGATCGGCTTTCTTATAATGAAGTATTGCCTTTTGTTGAAGTTTATTCATAGAGCAAAATGCAAAACCTTTAATCCTTAACCAATAATTTTTCACTCTGCGATTAGCATGCAATACAAAATCGTAACGTTCGCCACCGTGGAACATAATCTGTTGCACTTTTAAAGGTTTGATATCATTGCCATCACTAGCTATAACCAATAGATCATGTTGATCGATACTTAAAGAAACTGGACAATTTGTTACGCCATTGAATATTACACGAAAACGATAGCGTTGTCGTTGCTCGACAGTAAAACGAGAATATAAGATCGGCTTATCCTCATCAGAAGCTTCTCCTAAGCCATTAATTAAAATCGTTTTCGGAGTACTCTCATCGAAATCTCTTAACCAATCTTGTATCATTATTGTATGCTCGGTTAAATCAAAATCGTAAAGTTTCGCGTGAGGATTTTCCTCTAATGTTTGTCGTATAATTAAAGCGCCGGCCAAACCAAAGGCTCTTTGATGTTCAGTATGACTATGCCACCAGTGTGTACCGGCATGATCGGTCTCAAAACGATAGCGAAACGCTTGACCTGGCTCTATTGGATATTGAGTAATGAACGGTACACCGTCCATATATGGAGTTTTATAATGATGGATACCATGCCAGTGTATAGAAGTGGTTTCATGCATCGTATTAAGAACATCGGTCACGATCGTATCACCATAGCAAACCTCAATTGTCTCACCTAGAAATGATACGAAGCAATGAATGAAGAGCGAAAGGAGCCGGCATGATAATAAAAAGTTTGCGTGAAGAAGAATTGAAGAACCTATGACATTATGTATGTAGCGCCCCGAGAAATTCGTGAAAACTTACGACTCTAGAACAGTATACTGACTCTAATCCTATTGTAGGGATACCTCTAACTCTAGAACTGTCTTCTGAGGCTCATCAGGTTCATCAAGTGGGCCTCCTGTTGAAAATCTTCATTTTCAATTTTTATGATATTCAATAAAAGTTTTTCCGTCAACTGGCAGTAAAAACTTCAAAATTTATCTTGTCACTCTCGTGAAAGCAAGTTGAAAGATCGACAATTTCGAAGACGAGGTACTTTGTATCTATTTAGTTACAAAAAGTCGACGGAGATCTCCTTATACTCTACATCACTTCTGGTAAAGGGAGTATTAAGTTTGTGTGGACGTATGTAACACAGAGAAAGTTCTAAGATAGATCCACCTTTTATTATCGATCTAAGCTTGTCTGTCCGTCTGTCCATGCATTTTTGTGTTCAGGCTGCAGGTCTCAAATTTTGAGATATTGGTTGTGATGAAATTTGGTAAACTGACATGTTTTGACCCAGGGACGAACGCTATTGAAAATGGTTCGCATTGGTCATTTCTTTCGACCACTCCCTATATAATGTTATATAAAAAAGTCCAAAAAACTCCTGAAAATATATACATTCTTGATTGATGTCAAATTCGCAATGCACTTCAGTATGTCCATCCGTCTGAAGATGACTTAAACTGATCAAAGGACACGCCTGCAAAGCAACAAAACCTGAGAATATTTCTGCTCTTTGCAACACTTGGCCCGCGATGAAAATTTTCACTTTTATTTCGTAAAAATGGAAAAAATCAACCACGCCCCTTTCATTTGATAGCCTATCACAATTGCATTATTTAGAAAAAGTCCTTATGACGCCCGGAAATAAGCTGCAAGCCCCCAAAAAACGTAAACACATTCCTGATTGTCGATAAATTAGGAATGCAACTAAGTGTGTCCATCCGTCTGGCTGCCCAATTGTGCCATACCTGGGGGTAAATATTCTTCCGTTCGCACAAACGAAGGTGTCGTCTACAAATTTGGAAAGAAGAGTTGAAAATGACGGTAACCTATCTAAAGAACGCGTCTCCAAAGCAACAAAAGCTGAGAACAATTTTGCTTTCTATGTTTTTCGCTCGTTACTTTCATAAAGCATACTAGGTCCCCGATAAAAATGTCTCGCTTTATTCTATAAAAATAGAAAACACTAGCCATGCCCACAAATATTATGAAGTATTAAAACTTAGTTTTTGGTTTAAAAGATTCGTTCACGGCTGCAATGCAATGTAATTTTCTTTCTGGTCCCTATTTTTTTTTTTTTTTTTCAATGATATTTACCTGGTAATTGTCCATTTACTACCATTATTTCACTTTCAATACCATCGGCGTATTTGCAATGATTTACTTTGCTTTCGTCGTCCTGAAATTCTTCTTCTTGAACACTAAAGGGATCGATGTAAGTGTATTTATCCACTTTGTAGTGATATTTTCGATTCAAATATGGTTCGCAAGCTGGACCCATAGTCTCGTCGTAATGAACAATTAGATAATAATAACAAGTCATAGCGTGTTCCGGACCCAGGCACGTACGTTTACAGGGATGATTATCGACATGATAATTCGGCGACGATGTGCTATTCAAAGAAAATCTCGGATATAAATTTAAAATCTTAGCGTAACGACTCAGCGACTGAGTAAGACATTCTGCGAAAACACACAAAAAACGATAACGAAAGGATTTAATGAAAGTTGTTCTCCGTTTTTTCCTTCTTTCTTTCTTTTAACTACCTTCTGTTAATGTTAATGATATTAACCATAGTAATGTCCTAATTACTCGCATGAGGTTAGAATTTTTCATAATTTCTTTTTAGATATTATTTAGGAAAGTTCTTGATTGCTGCGAGTTTAATTAACTACTGACAGATATTTTAATTAATCATCGGAATATCGTGGAAATATTTACATATTCGGCTTCAAAGAAATAAGATAAGAGCCTACGATGACAGGAAACAAATGAGTCTGCTTAACACCCTTGTATTGTATTGAGCTCGCTTGTTAACATAAAGAAAACGAAATTAAAATTGCAAAAGAAAAAAAAAAAAAAAAGGAAAGAATTTATACTCGATTCTTATCAGGGGCTACCAACCAATCTTTCAAATCGATCACCCATCTTGATGATACAACATAACGACGTTTCTGTTTATGCCCTACATCAATCGTGGTATGAGAAACTTCTGCGGGCGTTCTGAAACACTCAGAAGGGTTTAATCTAACCCTGTCGGTCCGTATATCCGCCTGATACTCGTTCATTTAAGCAGTTTCGTGTTCTACGTACCGATCGAAATTTTTGATTTATTTTGATCAAATTTCTTACAATGACTTGCTTCGGCTGGGGTTGGTCCAGTTTTTCGATCACTTTCCGCATAACGGCGTATTTTGAAAAGCCGTTACATGGACAGAAATTGTAAACTTTTCCACTATGTAAGTGTACATCGACATTCTAAATTTTTATGCAAAATTTGATTCGGGGCAATTTTTTGAATTGGTCTGATATATCACCATTCCTACGAAAACCGAATCTACATAAGTTGAAAACGCATTATTTTCAATTTCATGGTGAAAATTGGTTCATAATTGTAAGTTGAGAAAGAAATCAATTTTATCGAATTTGGATCACGTAGGTTTACTTTCGAGATGTCACCGCATATAAATGATTCTCGGGACACGTAAGACCTTATAAACCAAAAGGGCTTAATTGTTAATGTTCTGTGATGAATATATGTTAAGGCTAATAATTTGATTATAACAATTAAGTGGACCATACGGGTCTATATCTTGGACATCACTTCTTATTAGATTTCTCATGAATAGTAAGGGAATTTGGATTACATAGGTGTATTTTTTAGGAGCCCAACCCGACAATATGGGTTATCATGAAAAAGAGAGTCCTTATATGGAGAGATAGTGTAATATCCGTTTTTTCTATAACGGAAATTATGAATTAGTAAAATTTTTGGGAAGCTTGCCAAACTGTGATCATGTGATGTTTTGAGCATTCTCCAAGATGTGGACATGAAAATGATGCGTAACTTTTGGTATACTATTACGAAAAGGAGCACTAGGTGAAATGGTGTAATATACATAATGCTTGGCCTTGTCCGAGTGTAATGTTCTCATCATAAATTTCGTTAATCGGATGCAATTGAATGCAAATATCAGAGAAAATGAAAAAAAATGACGAACATGACGAACATGATGACGGACATTAAACATCCTACAACACCTCGATTAGCCCAAACCTTTAATTATCCTCTTTGCGAAATATCAAAAGCTGTCCCTCCTTACTAACCTAAAGTAAAGTTCACTGAAGTAGTAGTAGTCGAAAGCACGGAGCAGGGCATGTCTTATATATCAAAGGCAGGTGTGACAACGGCCACGTAAAAAAAGGCTAAAGGCATCGTAGTCTAAATTTAAGCTTAGCGGGGGTCAGGGCTTCACTTGCCGCCTATCCTTAAAAGACGAAGAATAGGACTAAGCAGAGGCGACTGCCTGTCGAGAAATACTTGTGGTGGCTGTGGGTCATAGCCATATAGAGAGGGAGAAAAATTTGGAGAGAAAGGAGTGAAATAGATAAACAAACAGCCAAGGAGAGAGAGTGAGAGGGAAGGAAAGAAAGAGAGAGGGAAAGATACAGAAAGGGAGAGGGAGAGACTGAGAGAAAAATAGAGAGAGGGAGAGAGACAAATGTGTAACAATTTGTCACTACATATTCCTTGTCTTACTCTTTTAGGCCATTACATGAACACGATCACGCCTTCTTTTACAAACCCGTTTTATATGAATACTTGTTATACAGGGGACGATTTACTTAGTCTCAGCCCCTTGCCAAGTTGTCCCCAGATAATGTTATCTATAGATAAAAAAATAATTTTTTTTTTTTTTGAATTTTTAATATTTTATTTAAATGTGTATTAACTACTTCACGTTTTACATATGTATATAAGTATATATATATATATATATATATATATAAATATATATAAGTTTACATAAAATCACAATAAAATTTAAATAAATTCTATAAAATTATGTTTTAAAAAAAAAAAAAGAAAGAAAAGTGTACAACTTTTTCTTACATATTAAAATGAAAAAAAAAAAAAAAAATAAAAAATTAAAAAATCTTCTTATAAAGTTAAACAATAAATAAGTAAGAAAGTTTTACTTTTATTTCACACTTTAATAATTTTTTTTTTTTTTCTCTATAAGATTAATATAACATATGAACAGAAAAAAAGAAAAGGAAAAGAAAAGAAGAAGAAGAAAAAACGAGGAACACAATGTCGAGTTTTTTTTTTTAAATTAAAATTTTTTTTATTACATATTTACATACATAAATTAAAATTTCTATCTAGTACCTAAAACGTACTAATTGTCATTTGTGCTGTGTTTAAAAAAAAAAAAAAAAAAATTTATTTTTTTTTTTATTTTTTTACTTTTCATTTACTTTTTTTTTTTTTTGGTTTTTCTTTATAATTTTCATTTATTTAATAAAGAATCGATTGAAAAATCTTTGAATTTCGCTATATATGCTTCATCATGATTCGCAACATGTTGCTGATCAACATTTTGAAAATTATGATTAACTGTATTGTTTGTTGTAAACTTATTGTGATTGTTGCCAATATTTGCTGTTTTTAATTTATGACGTGGTTTACGTAAAAATTTTGTTGATATTGTAAATTTATTCGGTTTAACGTTTGGAGTTTTTAAGCCACTTGTTATTATTGGTGGTGTCTTATTATTGCTGCAAGCTTTCTTCGATGCATCGATAGTTTTTAGAAATCTTTGTACCTGAATTAGTTTATTATCTCCTGGTGGTGCTGCTACTGCTACTGCTGCGACTGCTGTTGCTGTTGCGGCTGTTGCTGTTGCGGCTGCTGCTGTTGCTGCTGCTGCTGCTACTGGTGGTTGCGATTGAGATTTACTTTCGCTTTCATCTTCGGCCTCATAATTTAAAGAACTCTGAGAAGAGTGCAAAGAATATTGACTGCTATGATCCGAATCACTGTTAGTTAAAGGCTTTGGTTTGTTTATTACTTCTCCTATATTTTTATTGACTTGATCATCATCATCATCATAATCATTATCATCATCATCATCATCATCATCATCATCATCGTCATCGGAGGATAGGGTTATTATTATGTTATCATTATTTAGCGGTTTTGTAGAATTTTTGGTTTTATTTGTATCCTGCCTTTTATTATTATTGCTGTTGTTGTATTCGCCAAATTTCAAATTCGAATTTCAGCTGGTTTTAGTTATATTATCGTCTCGCCTTAGTTGTGACTGAAGGGATTTTATTGTTGTTTTGTTTTTTTTTTTTTTTGTGTTTTTTTTTAAAGAAATATATATGAAAATATTTATTTTTTATATATTTAAAAAATTTTATTTTTTTTTATTTTTGAAAAAGTTAAATGTATATAAAAAAAGCAAGTCGAAAAAACAATTATGAGAGATTTTTTTTTTTTTTTTCTTTGCTTTCATGATGATGATCCAAATGTTATACTAAAAGGGAAGTAATGGAGGTGTTATTAACATGGTAGTGAAGATGGTGGTGATGATAATGGATAGAGTTATGTTACTATTAATGCATTTCATAGGAATGTTATTAAAGATAACATATATCGCAATATACGTATGAGTTGAATTTGTTGTTGTTTTTATTGTTCTTACACCAAAAAAAAGTCCAATTCTATTATTAAATATGTTAAATGAATGAAGATAAATGATTATGAGGACGACAACAAAATACTAGTGTGTGTGAAAGCACAAAGCAAGAAGCCCGATCATACACCAAAACACATATATATATATATATATATACATATATGTATATATCATAAATATTTAACATAAAACAAGACGGAGCATGCATTTCGGCTTGCAAAACCTTTTCAGTTAACATTTCATTAGCGAAAAGGTGAACAACAATAACATTTTCGCATAAATAATAAACAAATGAAAATCTATTTCCCATATTTTTAATATCAAGTAAAACATCTTTCCTCAGTTTTAGTACTTTTCACTCTATGTGGAGGGGGGGGTGGGGCTGTTTTCTTTCAATACAAGTGATGCGAATTTCTCAAAATTATAAAAAAGGAAAATAAAAAAAAAAAAAAAAAAAATTAATTAAGGGAAAGCAAGAATTTTTTATATCCCTCTTGCCGACTTTCTGTCGATCGGTCCGACTGTCTGTGAAAACCCGATTTTTGATATAGTTCGGCGGAATTTGGACGCCTATCGAGTCAAAAACGATCGCTTTTAGAAATAGATTGCATGGGACAACATTTGCGGCCACGCCCAAATTAACGTCTGGTCTTAAAAAGTAGTTGCATGAAAATGAAATCCAATTTTCAAATAATATCCCCATCGCTGAACAATAGTATTTCGAATCAATTTCAATTTGTCTATCAGTCTATCTGTCTGCCGGTGAGAAGTCGACCTTCAATATATTTTGGGCGAAATTTGGTACGTTGCGATGTCTATTGGCCTCGGACAAGTTTTGCGACCACCCCCGTATGAAATATAAGTTCTGTACGTCAAAAAGTCTAATTTTTCGATATTTTATGACGAAAGTAGGTGAAGAATAGTAAGATCTTTGAAAAGCAAGTTAATTGCGTCAGATTTAGGCCAAGTGAGTCCACATTTTGGGCCTTCTCCCATATAATATCCCGATAAAAAGTGTGGTCGACTATATCTTAAAATAGATTCGGTGCAAAATTCATATAATTTCCAAAGATTATAAACGCGTGCAGCTTTTCATGATGAAATTGCAAACCTTGAATACCTCTAGCAAAGAGAAAAAGGTTTTGATATTCGAAATGTAACCACAATATTAAGAAGAAATCATATCACGCCTATTGGAAAGCCCTTTATGTGAAAGCAGAGACGCGAAAAATATCATTTCTGTATATGAAAAAGAAACATTTTTTTTTTGGAATGTTATACAACATGGACGGACTAAGCGCAAGCGAGAAATTGAGTAAAATTTTTTCATTTCAGATTCTAGACATCTTATAGTAAAAAGTTTCATTCCATCTTGTTTTATACACGTTTTCACATACGCAAGTATTCTTCCCCTCTATTCGACCGAGAAACACAAAGAAGTTGCGGAGACTTTTTAAGACATTCACTGTTAAGAAACCATGTCCGGGTCCAAGTCAAATTTTATCGAATGCGAGTGTGTGAATCGACTAAGTCCTTTCGTTTGCATTGCGGCATAGCTCGATTCGTTAACGATTTTCAAAACGATTTTTAGTATTAGTTTGCAACAGAAGCGGAATCACGTAAGTCAAACGATATGAATCTTGAAAAATTGTAATGCTTGGAGAAAGCAAGCCACAAGTTCGAAAACTACTTCCTGGCATTTCTGTTGAGGACTAACATTGCATGTTTTCTGCTTTTTTTCATGGTGACTTAAGGTAAAGAACATTTTTTTTCCGAGTTCCATACCCTACACCACTTGTGGTACAAGGGCATATTAAGTTTATGCGAGGACTCGATGTAGGCCCGGTTGTAATCTAGTCAGTTCACCAGGCCCCAATATTTCAGATATTTAGTACCATGACGTGTCTTGGCCCTAGGACGAACGCTATCGGAAATGGCTTGAATCGGACCACTTTTTCGAGTACTTTGCATGTAAGGCCTTATTCTGGAAGATTGTTATATGAACCAGTGTATGGTGGTGTAGGGTATTTAATGGTGGATCGTGGCCCACTATAATGTTTTTATATGTTTAACCACAGAAAGAAATATGGCGGCTCTGGTAAAGTTAGTAGTTTCTTTTTGGCTTGCGCCCTCTTAGCGAACCGATGGAGGTCTTCATTTTGTACTTAACACAATTCAAAAGAATGCAACTTTTTTTTTTTTTGTCAATACGAGTAAAAATTTGGTGAACGTGGAACAATTTATTTCAGAAAAAATCTGGACTTGAATTGGATGAGGAAGAAATGCATTGAAGCTTATTAGAGAATCTTGCCTAGAGAAAGTGCAGGAAGCACAATTGAATGGAAATTGAAAAAGTCACTCTTTATATGGTGCCAAGCAATTTTGAAAATCGCTTCTACACTTCGCACCTCGAATATTTCAAAAATCACTTTGCATGACATTGTGATTTTCTGCTTTTTTAACTATATGCCCAACCATTCAATTTTTTATCCTGAAGCCCTGAGGTATGAGTTGAATTGAATTGAATTCCTTAGCCGTGTTCGAATGTTCTTATACGAAAAGTTCGTTGCAGAAAGAACGCGTTTTAAGGGAGATGTTGCAAATTTTTGCTTTAGGTTATGTGAAAATCGCGTATAGAAGTCATATGGTGTAGGAAACCTGGCCGTAGGCACAGCCATTGAAGCAACATTGCTAAGGAATAGCCTTTTGTCGTATTATTATTCAATTATTTAAAAAAGTTGTTTTGAATCAATTTCAACGTCGCCTGTCCGTCCCTCTGTCTGCGAGACACTTATCTTAGCAGCGAACGTGTTCAGAGCTCTTTTTTTTTTTTTTTTGTTTGTATTTGATATGGATTGGACCTTTTAACTTAAATTTAGATCCATAATCCAGTAACTATATAGAAATCCATTGCTGATATTCATAATTTCACGTGATGATGAAATAATGATGCTTTTTTACTAAATTTTTTGATTTTTTTGCTTTCTAGTTTATGTTTGACTCTTTTCTTTATTTCTTTATTTCAATTGAGTAACACGCTGAAGTTGGTTGTGTACACCCCAACGACACCATGAAAACTGGTGTTCAGAGCTCCTAAAAAGTATGCTTCTTATCTTTTTCAAAAGCTTTGCTTTTTTCCTCTTTTCTCTCTCTCTCTCTCTCTCTCTCGCTTTCTCTCGTCAAAATGATGCGTCAGTTTGTAAAGAAAATTGAAAAAAAAAAAAAAAAAAAAAAAACAGAAATAAAACAAAGAAAAGAACCGAAAAGAGAACGAAAAACCAAGTAACAACATATTGCAGAAAGATTTCGCTGAATTCTCTTAAACGTTAAATTGAGATATTTTTGATGAAAGAAAATTAGATTAAACGAAGAAAATTGAATAATTTTTAAACAAACTACAGTAGAACAAGGATAAATGCACCTTGAAAACTTGAAAACTATAACTAAGGTTTAGAGGATCTAGAGGGTCTCGGAAGCGGTATCGGTTCGCTTAAAAGCTTCCCGATTTGATTATCATAAAATTGATGATCAAACGTAATGGGAGGGAAGAAAGACTTGAAATTGAAAATTTTCAAATAGGAAGTATACTAATTTCATTATTGCGTTTGTAATTTCATAATCTAAAGTTTATTGAATTTCAAGTCATTTTTTTGTTGATACCTTGATGATGGGAATTTTGAGCCACTAGTTCAAGTTCACAAGAAGGTTCGTATTTGAATTGAAAATTTTGCTAAAGATAAAAAAATCGTTTGTAATTCCAGTTCCCATCTATCCGTGTTTTACTGTAAATTCGTTAAGCCTTACATAAACACAAACATACACACATATGAACAAGAAGAACACAATTTGTGAAAAAGTAACTTGAACTAAACACTAACTGAAACTACCTGATGGTGTGATTTTGTTTTATAAATCGATTGATAATCAGCAGCGTTAGCAGACGCACTCGTAGACGATGCATTGGCCGAAGCATGAGAAGAAGAAGAACAAGAGGAAGAAGAAGCAGATACTGCAGATAGGGTAACCGCCCCACCGCTAGGGAAGGTAACCTTATGATGTTCGGTTGAATTTCTTTTAATCATAATGAGACTGCTACCAACGCCACTAATACACTTGTTGCTGTTGTTAATGTTATTGCCATTATTATTGTTGCTGTTGTTGTTCTTGTTGTTGTTGCTGTTTTTAGTATTGCTGGTGCTGCTGCTGCTGTTGCCACTACCACCATCACCACCACCACCACCACCACTACTACCATCTCCACCATCACCGTCAACATTACTAGTGCTCTCAATTGTTGAATATTTTGAATTTGATGTGGGAGTAATAGTAAACCCACCTATTCGAGCAGGAGGTACTGCTGCTGCTGATGTATTCGATGAACCAACATTAATGCCCAAACGTACAGATGTAAGTGATGCCTGTGACGTATTTGACTCATGCTGATTGGTGGAAGATGAAGAAGAAGAAGAGGAACAAGAAGCAGAAGTGCCTAAATGATTATATGGAAGATGATGTTGCATAGCTGAGGTGGCTACATGATGTGAATGATGCATTTGATGATGTTGCTGTGCATGCTGAGCGTGATGATGATTTTGATGCTGCTGCTGCTGTTGCTGCTGCTGCTGCAATTGTTGTGGCAATACTGACGTTGTTGTTAATATCGAAGCCTGATTATTATTACCATTGTTGTTGCTGCTGTTGTTGTGACTGTGCATAATACTAATACAGTTGCTGTTGTTGTTATTATTGTGGCTGTTGTTAAGATTATGAACTACAGTTGTGTTCGTTATAGCAGCAGTTTGTCTAAAGAAATTTTTCAATTAAGCGGTAATAGAGATGTGCATTGTTTTCATTTTTGTTGTTGTTTTTGTTTTGATGATGATAAACGAGAGAGCAATTTTGACAATTCAAAAAAAAAACACACACACACACACACGTATGTATTTATTTAAAAAAGTATGCAAAGTAGGAAAAGTGAGGTATTTTTATTTTAAATAGAGAGAAAAAATATTGATAAAGAAAATAAGAAAAAAACAAAAACTGGCAAAGGTTTCTAAAATTAGTAATGCTTTACAACGAAAGGCTAAACGGAAGCCCATTACCAATTTCGTGGAGCTAGATTTGGCGGTAGGTAAGGTGATGGATAGTTAAAAAAAGAGATTCCTTTTCGCCTTATAGAGAACTTAAGATGATTTTCAAGAAAAACAAAAAAAAAAAAAAAAAAAAAAAAAAAAAACTTACCTCATAGCTGTAGAGGCAACAGCAGTTTGCTGTCGAAAATCTAAACCATTTTCTAAATTAGATGCAGAATTTAAACGTCCATTAGCAGCAGCTATTCCACCTATTGCTGCACCTATTCCACCGCTAGCTCCTACCATAGCTGTAACCGTTACGCCTGTAGGCATTCTCGCATTTGCGCTTATATTTGATGATATTGATGTTGTAGCGGCAGTTGCCAGCGAAGCTGCTGTGGCCGCCGACGCTACAGATGTACCGACGGTTAACGTTGTTACGGTTGTTTGCGGATTGCAGTTCGCAGTTAATGCTGAGGAGGTTTGTGTGGTAATACTATTGCCACTATTATTATTAGAAACTGTAAAAGTATTTGATCATCATATCAAAATTATCCTCAAATTAGAGAATAAAGAGCACGAATGACGAACAAGAGAGTGGATTATAATTAAAAAAAAAAAAAAGAAAATTTATTTGAAATGTTATATACACGCAAGCATATGTATATATATATATATATATCTCAGCTACGAGATTATTAGCATACCTTCCGATATTTTATAACAGCTAATCTATATATTACACATAAAAATAAATATCTTCATAAGATTTAAGAAGGATTTAGGAGAGTTGAGATAGAGAAGTTGTGCTGTGTTATTTATTGCCAGTCATTGCTGAAGAGGTCTTAAGTAATTTGAAAGATAAAAGAAATCCGTTTAGCGAAAGATAAGGATGCCCCTTACCATTAGGATGATAAGTCTACATTAGCTCTCTCTAGGATATAAAGTTGAAAATATCTGATCCGATGTGTGCGTACGGCCCTTTCCCACTTAGTTAAGGATTTAGGCAACAACGTTATCAGCTCCCTTAGCCGCAATCGTAATATATTGCCCATTTCTGAGTTTACTTACATCAAGTCCATGGAACATTTCGCAGGACTACAGATTGCCTTTGTCGGTTTAATATGCGTACATTACCTAATCGGTTTAACCCTACGGAGCCCGATGAAACACCGGTTAATTTGGGTTAACCGGCGCCCTCCAGAGAATTAGACGATCCCTATAAGCCTTTCAGACTAACCATACAATCCCGGCTAGCCAAGACCGTACTACCCTTCTTCAACATATATTAGCATTACAACCGTGGCGGGCGGTACCATACTCTCGACTATTACTACATCAACCAGTTACCAGCTAGTTTGGCTAGTATTTCCTCCTTAGCAATAGTGTATGATGAAAGAGTGCTTCTTCCAGTATCCCTAAGGTATCATTCAGAAAACTTGTTGCCAAGTTATAGGTAGTCCAAGCCTTAAACTCTTCTTCGTCGGTCAACACCACTTCCAGGGATCACCACGAGAAGGTGAGTACTTCGACACGGCTCCTCTCAAAAGCATAGTTTATCGCAGTGGTCTAAAAAGAGACTACGGGCAAATATTGTTATCTAAGAAAGGTCACAAGGTTAGTAACCCTTGAGTCAGTCAAATAATCACCGGGCAAGGGATATTTCCCAATTTTTCTTGTCCCTTTCAATAAGGCTAATTAGTAAATTATGCGATTATGCCTGCACTGTAGTGTTCTATCGCCATTTCACCCCAGCATATTGTACTGGAAGCTGGGCTTCCCTCAATCAATCCCTTGCACGCAAAAATCCATAGAGTTTTCGATACAGAATCTCAGCGTAAGCAAATGTCTTGGTGTAAAGAAAGCCCATACGCTGATACGTATGATCTCCTAATTAAATCAAAATCAGATTTTGTTTTGAGAAGCGAAAAAACGGTCTTGGGGGAAAGTCGCTCATCTCGATCAAGCAGCAAGTTATTATCGAAGTAGAAAGTGATTTGCAGCCAAGATTTGAAATAAAAGTAAAAAAGGAACAAAAAAAAACTATTTCCCATCCCGCTGTCACCGTCTAGAAGAGCTTAATAAACCAAATTGTGGCGTATAATAAAAGTTAATTTGATCGTGAAGTAATTTTTAGTCTACTGCAATATGTCTTCTTCGTGTGTGGTCATGCAATGATCAATTGGATAATAGAAGTTTCTTATTGAGGTTAGCGGTAAACAAATGTCCTTGACGAGCAAGAGTTCTTCACGTCTTCTATGCAGAATCTACATATCGTGATCTTGAGCCTCTGTAAGGCGTTTTTATTCTGTCTCCCCGAAACGAAATTTCAAATACTATCTGATTTCTACTGCCGGTTGTTCCCAATAATTATTAAGTTCCAGTGAAGCTTTTAAAACTTATAAAGTTTACCGCGAAACAGATGTGTCAAATACAGAGAAGATATGGCACCAATCAGTCATAGAATTTCAAGAAGTCTCGTCGACAGTTCCAAAAGATGAAAACTTTTGAAAAACAATGAAATTTGGGCGGGTTAATGGTTCTCGATAGCTGTGCATTGCGAACTAGTTGATGACGGACGAGCTGTTGATGGAGTGAAAAATCTTTCGATTGTAAAATTATCGTCGAGTAATATATTTAAATTACGATCGACTTTACTTTTTGGATGAAACCGTATACCTTTGGTCTCTGGGCTCTGGTGTTGTATATTGTTGTTTATACAACCTGAACCTGCAGGTGTTGTTTCTTTGAATTTAAAAAGCGTTCCATCTCACAACTGGGTCCAAAAAAGCCCAATTTTGTCTATAATTGTATAAGGGTAGTTAGCAAAATTTAGCCAAGTGAAGATAAGACTTAAAAATGCGAAAAAGTGAATGTCAGCCTATAAGAAATGTGAGCAAATCAATGTAGCCGGTCAAGCGCTGCCTAGGCTTTTATTTATTTTATGAACAATTCCGGATACTTTCTACGCACAGTATATGTATTGAAAAGGCTTGAAAAATGCTTACAGCGAGTGGACCGTGGATCGCTATAAATTATAAAAAAAAGTTTCAATTTTTAAAAGTTTTTTTTTTTTTTTATTTAAGTCTTATTGTTTTTTTCCTCAATCTTTGTATCAAAAACAATTCAAGCAATAATTCATTCATTGCTCTTGAGATTAATTCAAATTTGACGATATTTTTAAATTTTTAATTTATTTGAGTTAGTGTTCGCATAAAACAAAACACACACACACGTTGTGGTCATATGACTTAATTAAATTAATTACAAATTGTGCAGTTAAAATATTAAAGAGAAAAAGAAAATGTTGAGATTATGAAATAAAATAAATACATGTTATGACAGAAGAAACTAGAAGAGAAAGCAACGACTTACGAGAATAATATACTTATGGGTGAATAATGAATGCGTGAATAATTTTTAATTAATTACATAGTATGATTGAATTGTTGCAAAAAAAAAAAAACATTAATAAATAAATAAATCACAAAAAAATATATTAGAAATGGAAAAATTTCAACTAAATAATCAATTTGGTGTTAAATGGGTTAAGAGACCCGTATTCACAAGAAAAAAAAAAAATAACAACTTAAGTCTAAATCCATATCTTACATATATAAATTTAAAAAAAATGCCCATTCTTTGTACGTTTTTCCATATTTTTTTTCTTTCAAAATTATTTACCAGCTCAGATAAAAGCTCTAACTAATTGATATAATTGCAAATGAACTAAACAAAGCGAAATAATTCACAAAAACAGTGATGATGATGATTAAATAGTGTTGTTGTTGTTGTTATGATAGATTTATGAGGTTGCGATGTTGTTGAAAAAAAAAAAAAAAATGTATATAGGTAGCCCTCGCATAACACGGTTAATTCGTAACGGGCTTTATTATCAAGATCATATTATATCAAAGCTTTTCATTTATTTTTTTAAACTAAGATATTATGTAGAACGATTAGATACATAAAATAAATCAAGCAAATGTTTATTGAATTTTATCGAAAGTTGTTTTAGTACTACGACCAAGAAGTAAGATCAATATTCAAGTTAAATTATCAATCATCGTATATTAAATATCGGAAATATTTCTTTTTCCAATTTGGTGACACTATAACCATCTTTTGGGTCACATTTCACATCATAAAACGTCGTCAGATATGTGCATCTGGCAATGCCTTCACATTAAATTACTAAATTTTGCACCTGACACAATTCCTATAAATGTAGAGAAAATTATAAAAAACAAGTAAGAAAATTATATTTGGTTGTAACCGAATCTTCTATAGCCGTCACCGTTATCCTAAAAAAGGCGTAAAAAGTAAATGAACTAAATTTTCATAATTATTTATTTTCATCATGGACTGGGCGCGGCTGATTGTGTGGGCTTTATAAGCGTGTCCTTGGAAAACTTTAAGTAATTTCTTTACATTCTTTTGCAAGTTTATAGGTGAACTCCTTTTCGCTAGTGGTAGAATCACAGATATCACAGATACTACACGATTTCGCAGACAGACAAATGGACAGACGAACAAACGAATATGTTTAGATTGCATTGCAAATTTGAAACTGCCTAAGAATTTATATATTTTATGGGAGTTTTCAAGCTTATTTCCTTGTGCCTTTTGTGGACATTGCCTAAAGAATATGCATACAAATGTTTGTAGATTTATCTGCTATAGTTTATGGAGCAATTAGCAAATGAATTATTGTTTTTTCCTTTTAAAAAAACTGAGGTATTCCGGGTTTACGTCGCACTTCGACGAATTTGAAACAAATTCAATACCAACTTGCGTCTAATGTTTCTGCCAAATTTGAAGTCGATAGCATAATTTTTATGGCCAGGAAGGAGAATGTTTACAACAAGCAGACGGACAGACGGATATGCTTAAATGAATTAAAATTTGATGCTGATCAAGAATATATACACTTTGTAGAAATATATATACCCTCGAAAACGATATAAAAAATAATATTACTGAATTTGTTAAGAAACACACGTGGTTAAGGTAAAATAGTACTATTTTTCCGTACGGTACTTAACAAACGTGATTGATATTTCATTTGCGCTTGGTTTTGTGTGACATAACTACTTCTTCCGAAGAAGTAGTTGCATTAAATTTTCTTTGCGATTATTATCAGGCGATGAGACTTGGGTGTACGTGTACGACTCGGAGATGATCTGTGTGTAAAAATGGATGGAAATTTAATTTCTAAGATTTTCAAAATTTTAACGAATACAGAAAAAAAATAAAAGAGTTGTATGAAAATATTCAAGCAAACCGGAAATGTTGACGTGGAGGATTGACACGGGCGTTTTACGTAAGACGGAGAAAATGAGAATAGCAATCAAGCTTACGGTTTCGAGAGTGGTAAATATTGTTCCCATGTTAGAGAAGGGCGAGTCCAGCCAAAGCGAGGTTAATCGCAGGCGTAGAGGAAGGGGTGCGCAGGCACAGACGTGGAAGAAAAAGAGCGGCAACCCCGTGATAGGGCCCGCTCTCTCTCGCTCCGATTCGCGGTCTAGATCTCGTGCGTCACAACGACGCAGAAGATAGATTGTTTCAGCTCTAACGCTAAGCTTTCACATCATCATTTTGAATTCAAATTCCTTCGTTTGTTTCCTTTCGATTATTTTTTTTTTTCAAATCAGTTTCAAAATTGTCGCAGTAGGTGTAATATAAAAATGCATATATTTTTAAACATCTTAAAAAACACAAAAAAAAAAAAAAAACGATGGAAGAATCGTATGACGTGATATCAAAGAGCCGCAGTAAAAAAGAAAAATTGATCTTACTTTTTGGGGACAGTAGCAATATAATAATAATGTTCATAAACAACGTCGTTGAAACCGCTGTTATTTACGATAAAAATAACATAAAAAAATATACATATATGTATAAAAATAAAAAATAAATAAATATATATTTTTAAAAAAAAGATAAAAATATATGTATATATTTATAAATAAAAAATATATATATATATTGATAGAAAATCCAGCGGAATACATTTTTCGAAGGTGTGTTTTATGTTATAATATTTGCAAATTTTCTACCGTTTTAAGCGAGAGGCGCCTGTATAACACCGCACTTATTTATATTATAGAACAGAAAGCTGAAGCTTTATACATTGGTAATGCTTTGGATAGGATTATCTCTTTATTCTCTTCATTGATTAACGCTCTTTCCAGCGTACACATACATACACACATGATATGACACATGTGCATCGCAACAAGACACGTCCACGTTTTCACTTACCTTGATTCGGCGTTGTATTAGCATTTAATGGGATAGCCAAACGGGCGTTTACTGCTAACAGATGATCGCGTCGTGCTATTAAACTGGCCACGTGTTCTTCTAAACGTACATTTTCCGTTTGTAATTGATGTAAACACGAAAGTAATGAAGCAACTGCGTACACACATGAGAAAAAGAAAAATTCAATATATTTTCAATAACCTAGCAAAAGTATTAAAAAAAAACTGGGTCCCGTCCCATCCTACATCATCGTATAATTAATTATTCATATAATCACTTTCCACAACAAGTCTTTACATGGGAAATGGTCCAGTACATCAAGGTTTGCCGATCCTTCTACATCGACAAAACCAAAAGAGATGGGTTGTTCATCACTTTTCCTATGCGTGAAGAGACAGTTTTTTGGTTTTTGGTGGCATTAAAGTTTACTCCATTTACCCGGCCTTATTCAAATATTTATATCAGGTCTCGGCTTAGTGAGTTATTCATCATGCCGCATGTTGAATCGTCTCTTACTAAAGGGAAGCGAATGACAAAAGCAGAGTTTTCCGTTATGCACAGGTGGTCGTTGTTGATTATCAGGAAGAGAGAAGAGGCTTTCAGACAGACATGTATAATGTAGTGAGACATTAAATTTTCATTTTTATTCGTTTGATTTTTGGAAGATTTCTTTGGTTAGCCATGTTCAATAAAAAGTCGTCTCTATAAGCCAATCACTCTAAAAAATAACTCAATTAGGCAACGGAAGAAGTTAGTTTGTGATATCATTGCTAAAAACGATTTGCATTCATGTTCGAAGTGCGGAGTAAAGTTAAAAGCATATAAGGCCGATTTCGGTTTTGCAGGCGAGGTTTTGCTTTGTTGATCAAGAGAATATATTTTTGATGAGACATCCCCTCGCCTGTTTCCATAGCAAACATTGACGAACTATACTCGGCCTAATTTTAAATGCTCCCGGGGACATTATTAGATCCTTAAAACTTGAAGAACAATACGAGACCTACTATGCATATGGTTGTGAGTAATATAGCCAAGAGGTGTCAATAGATACGTTATGTAATAAAAATAAGCAAAAGGTGTTAAAAAACGCTGCCATTTCGATTTAAAATTTGTCGACACTGGTTACCTACCCTGCGTTAAATGTAACACAACTAATATTATAAGGGTAGTTTTGACTTACTATCGAAATGTTGAGCCTGCTCCATGAGAAATTGTGAACCCTGTTCCCACTGACGTTCTAACAATTGTTCGAGACTTTGTGGGATAGATAAATTTCCGTTAACACCGCTGCCAAACATAGTGGCTAAGGGACTAGGTCCAGGACCGGTTGCTGCCACAGAGCCTGGTAATACTGGTGCCGCTGGCGTTGATGTATTACGCTAAAATAATTATTTATTACTCTATCTCTGTTAACAAGTTACTTGCTTGCTTGCTTCAACTTACCAATTTACCGGGGAACGGCACTCCCACATATTGTGGCGTTAATGACTCGGGCGTGTAAACACTATGATCTTGTATTTCCATGCTAAGTTGGTCGCTAAGCTTTTGTGCAACACTGCTATTCGGATTAATTTGATTCCCCAACATGTGCGCGGCTGAGGTAATTGTTAGTGTGGGCATGGTTGCGTTTGAGGTGACCGGGGTAGTACCTGCGAGTGTGGACGACGCACCATTTCCCAATTGGTTGCCATTTTGAAAAACCTTCACATCTTTCAAATCGTTACCGGACAACGAAAGATTTGTCGCTGTCATATCTTTGGCTTTGCGACCACGTTTACGCATTGAACCTGCCTCCGATCCGGGTGAGCTAGGCGGTGAATCTTTTATAACACTGCTTTCGAAATTAGCAGGCATGCTGTTGCTATTAGCTTGAGGTTCATATGAAAATTTTAGGCCGGCCGCTGAAGAATTTGAACATGAGCTAACTGTACTCGCATTGCTGACATTAAATGTTGATAGCGATGACGATGTTGAATAGATACCGCTATCAGGAGTTCTAATATTGTTTAGATTGTTATTCGTTGTTATTGTTGTTGTCGGTGTGATTGCAGTATTTGTGGCCATTGTTGTTGTAGTGACGGTGTTGGGCAGTTTAATTTTAGTTGATGTTGTTGTTGTTTGTATGGTATTTGAATTTGTATTAGTAGATAATGTTGAGGCCGTGCAAGCCAAGGATGTATTATTATTATAATTGGAATTGGTAGCGTTGGTGGTGGTAGTTGTGATTGTAGTGATGATGGTGGCAGATGAGGAAAGTGACAAAGAACAAGAAGAAGAGGACGTAGTGTTTGTGGTTAATGGTAAAATTTCAATAACATCATTATCATCACTATTATTATTAATATTATTATTTAAATTATGTTTATTATTACTATTATTGTTGTTAGTTGTTATGGTAGTAGTAGTAGTAGTAGTGTTAGCATTATGTTTAGCAACATGTTGCTGTTGATGTTTATTAGAACCAGTTGAAATACTGGATGATAAAATAGTGCCGGTAGAAGAAATGTTAGCAATGGAAGAAGTAGAAGCAGAAGTAGCAGAAGAAGAAGAAGAAGAAGAAGAAGAATGTGTGGTAGAAGCAGAAGCAGTGTTTTGAAAAGCAGTGTTGCTATTGTTAGAGGAATTTTTATTGTTGCCACTTTTAGAGCGCTCAGGCGATGCATGTTGAGCAGCAGCAGCTGATGATAATTGATGATGTTGTTGTTGCTGCTGCTGTTGCTGTTGTTGTTGTTGATAATATGATTGTTGAGCTCTTAGCATTTTTTTATTAAGAGGTTTATGGGATGAGGGCGTTGCAATATTTTCAGAATTATGGCTTAAATTAATGTAATTACTATTAGTAGTGCTACCGCTAGAGGAGTTAGTGTTTACGCTGATACTACTTGCTGTTGTTGTAGCTGCTGCTGCTACGATATTAGTATGACTTTGGTTTTTATTATAAGAGTTTTGTTCGTCTTGACTATGATTGTTGGAGTTTTTACTATTACTCCCTAATGTTGAATTCGAACCTAATACGTTGGCATTGTTGCCACTAGGCGAAGTTACTTGGTGACGTGTTAGTGAGGAAGAGGATTGCTCAGCCTCACGATTGCCTTGTAACATCACCACCGGCGACGGAGACGGTGTAATATTGGGAGTTGAATTTGGTGTTGGAGTGCTACGCATAGAAGGTGTTGGTGTACTGGGAGGCGGTAAAGATAGCGGTGAAGCTACGTTAGGTGGCGGGGTTGGCGTTGCCAATTCATTGCGGTAGCTCGATATTGTCGCAGGTGAATTAGTTGCTGATGCTGTCGAAGAGGTTTTCGTTAGCTTTTCCATTGGTGGTGCTGTAGAATTGCTCTCCGCACTATTGCTGTTCGAATTTTTCGTCGACGCACCACGTTTCTTCCCCGACCGCGAAGCGGACTTTTGCGATGTAGTTTGTGGTATGGATTGTTGTGACTGGGATTGAAATTGTAATTGTTGTTGGTGCTGTTGATGATGATGATGATGATGATGCTGTTGCTGCTGCTGCTGCTGTTGCGCTTGCAACACACTACTTTCACCTGAGCGTGATCTGTACATTATTTAATAATTGTGGTCGTTTTTACCATACAAGCAACAGCGCCATTACAAATATTTATTAAATGTTTTTTTGTTTTTCAAAATGTCGTCAAATAATCAATCAAGTTATGGTTTTTTTTTTTTGTTTGTTTTTAAAAATGCATATATTTTTTGCACAACCCAAGAAAATAGAAAACGTAAGAAAAAAGAGAGAAATAAACAAATATTTGTATATAGATCTCTGGATGTCACTTGTTTTTTATATGTAAAATTTATTTTTATTTTTTTTTTTTTTATTTCAGCGATCAATCAGATTAACTTCTTGGTTTTTGGGCTTTTCTCGCGGGTTATGAAAGTGTTATCAATTGAGCGGTTTATTTATTTACAAGTAGCAGTTTATATGAGAGAATCGAGCTTTTTCATGCAGGTAAGTGAGTGAGTGATATTTTCCTTTCTTTTCTTTGTTTTTTTTTTAATGAAAATAATGTCAAGTGCAATTGCGAAACCATCGAATATCTGGTGCAGAATAAATATTTCACTTATTGGGATATTGGGGAAAAGAGAAAAAATAGGCAAAACTAAAAATCATAAAAACACTTAAACGGCTTTCTACTGAGTGAGTATAAATCTCTGCTCCCTAAGGAAGAGCGAGGCAAAATCGCATTGCAAGTTCTCCTTGAACAATATAGGCCTGAACGAGTAACGACAGATATGGCTAAAATCACTATTGCTTGAACTTCCCCTGATTATTAAAGTGAAAACATTTGATAAAGCTGAAAATTTAATAATGACGACAGTTATGTAAACATAACGAATTATTATATGCTTGCTCCTTGGCGTCGAAAAGATCAAGATGCTTACGTGTTCCAAAGTTGCCATATTTTTAATTTTTTGGAATGGAAATATTAAAATAAGATAACAAAATCGATTCTTTTCAATAAAAATCGGGAGTACATTGTTTGACGGTTGTTACACGTTACGTTTATACGAATATAATAGTTCATTTTTTGATTTAATGGAAGCTTTATATAACGGTATATGGGGTGCGTTCAGAGAAAAAGGTGAGTTTTTATTTTTCTCGAAAATCCTTTATTTATTCATCAATATCTATATTGACCCCTTCAAAGTAATCCCTCCCTTAGACATAATAAACTCGTGTCAGAGCGTTTTCCAATCCTCGAAGCATTTCTAACATGCGCTTTTTATTATGGCCTTGCACTCTTTCATTGATGCACTTAATCGTTAAGTCGAACTTCTTTCTCTTATGGTTCTATTCTCTTTTGGAAACAGGGAACAGTCGCAACTGGTAACTGAGGGCTTAACAATGATGTTGTTTTTGTGTCGAAAAATTTCGAACAACCAATGACGTATGAGTTGGCATATCCATGATATTTTATGCCCAAAATATCCGAAAAGATCGCATGAGCCAACTGACATGCCGACATCCTCAGCAATTGCTCCAATTTTCTGCTCAGTTTCAACGTTTTCATCGGTTGTTGGCGCACACCTTGTTTTTGAACATCTCTCGTACATAACATAAGCGCAATGCAGCCACTTTGGTTTTTGGTTTCATTGTTCTTTGACATTTCATTCCGTTTCGCTTCAGTATTATCAAACAAACGTGAAGTCATAAGATTTTATCGGCAAAACGGGACAAAAAGCTTATATTTGTTATAGAATGGGATCTTGATGCTTAAGAATGCGTTATTGAAAAAATGTTGTTCGTGCATGTGGATGTGTCAGCTAAAGCGGCAGTTTATACTGACTTTCTAACCAAACTAAATATTTTTGTGCAAACTTGTAGATCAATTTGGCCTGTGGGCTTTAAATTACATGATTCTTCTTATTTTAAACGCGAGCGACTTTCCGCGATCTCTATGACCGTGGACTTTTTTCCACAACTGACGACAATCAAATGAACGGACACACATGATTAAATCGATTCATAATTATATACTCACCAAGAAGTTATATAATTTCTGAAATATCCGATTCCACTGCTTATTTATTAGAAAAGAAAAAAGAAATCTAGCAATCAGATTGTTCGTTGTTAGGTGGAAAGTCCAGCCAACTTCATGCCGTACGTTAATGTTCAATTCTAACCTAAAAGTTGTAAAATTGATTCCATGTAATTTTTTAGAACACTTTTTTTTATATTAAAAAGTACTTATGCGTCGTAAACCATTCAAAGCAATAGAGAAAACGTAACGTATTGACCTCTTTTTTTTGAAATAAATCTCCAGCTTTTAAATATCTTTATAGATGGGAGCTGCTAAATCTTGCCTGGAAGTACCCGACCGCATGCAGCGAAGTCCTGAAATGCTCATGCACGAGGAACAAGTATCGAAATGTCTCGTTATTCTACAACTCTATATAGACGGGAGCTACTAAATTTTGACTGGATTTCCTCAACCAAGTCCTCATGGGCGACGAATGTGTGCCCAAAACCTCCGTTACTCTACATTTCTGTATAAGCGGAATCTACAAAACTTTGCCTAGAGCGCCTCGACCGCGTGCTCAAGTGCTCATGGATGAAGAGAGTGTGGTGCCAAAATTCTTGTTACTCTTGTCTATTATCGATTACGTTGTGCTCACTTTTAGATGTATTCAGCGTCTTCTAAAGAAAGGACTAGGCGGCTATGTTCGGTCTCCTATATGCACGACACGTTAACGCAACTCATCGTTCTCGCAGAATTATCTATTAACGGCGATCTTTCCCACCATTCCGAAAGTTTCCACAAAATATTACTTCTCTCTTTTCTTTTTCCTTATCTGCAAAACCCTCTCGACGACCAATCTGTTATCATGTTTAAGGAATAAACTTTGGGTGAATGACCAGGGTCTGTCACTAAGAGTGATGTGATATTTGTGACAAAATTGAAGCAACAGTTATTTTACTTTTGAAGTACCTTTGGTGCAATTAACTTCTAAGTATTGTCCTAGCCAAGATCAACATTCAAGAAAAATTGTGCACGGGAATAACGAATATAAGAAAGATTTTTTTTCTTTTAATTAATGGCACTGTGACAGACATCTGTGTATCATAAAAATTATCAGACATGTGTATCTGGCAATGCCTTCATATAAAATTACTAAACTTTGCACCTGACAATTCCTATAGATATAGAAACAATTAAAGAAAATGAAGGTTACTGAATTTACTAAGATAAATTGCTATTATTTTTCGCCTCGGTTGAAAGTCGTTAGTGTTTCAGCTGCGTTTAGTTTTATAAGGCATATTATTATTATTATTATTAATTTCGCCAGAGAAATAAATTCTAAGACTAAACTCTTAAAAGCACTAGCATCTAAGGCTATCGGCTTTTTATTAAAAACTCTACCGCACTTGAGATTCGAACCCACGACCATTGACTTGCTAGTCGGGATTCCTCCCCTTCGGTACTCAGGCGGATTGCTTATAAGGCATAAAAAGTATTTCCTCCAAAGAAGTAGTCGCACTAAATTTTGTTTGCTATTACTAGCGGCAGATGAGACTTGAATCCACGCAAACAACCCAGAAACGATCGACCAATCGAACGAATGTCATGCAAAGGTTAGCCAAAATAGGAAAAACCGCCCCAAAATTCAAGAAGAAACAGTTACATTAAACTTTATCTTCGATTAGTGCTATATATAAATTCGTCTCCGTTCCGTTCGGCATTTATTTATGCACCACGATAAGGCAATTTGTTCGGAATCTCAATCAATTTGCTCATTCATTGAGTTGTCAGCATGAACTTACTAAACGATCTGATAAGAGAATTGCGCATGAAAATGGCCCTGGCGAGGAGACAATCTACGCCCGTTAAAGTAAAAAATCAAGCTCAATTTTGATTAAAGTTATAAATTAAACATTAAGATGTTTATTTTGATTCGTGCTTTCATTTCCCTATATAGGGATTAAATTCCTAATTAATTAATTAATGTGTTAAAAGAAAGTAAAAAAAAAAAAAAAAGAACAAACAAAACAGCAGCAACTATATGTAAATTTTATATATATATAAAATCAATGTAAATGTAAATTTGAGACAATATGTAGAAATTCGTTAACGGATGCGAATAATAATGATATTCGAAAGGTAATGGAATCGACTAAAAGATTACAACAAGACAATACAACGCATGAAATGGTTTTTTTTTTTTTTTTCAACTACTGAGTACGTAATATGATAGTCATGCTTTTTTATATATGTTATTGCAATTGTGTATCCATTCATCTATTTAAACATTTATCAGGATATGTGAAAGAGAGTTAGTACTAACCTGCTTCTTCTAACTGGTGCATTTTCTTGTTCTTGCAATTGATTGATACGCGATGATTGCTTGTCATAAGTTATCTTTAGATTACCACTTTCGGTGGTAGTGGCTGTTAGATTAACACCAGCCGTTACTAGAGATCCCGTTGTTGGTGTAGGCGATTTACCACTTTGATAAATGACACCATGATGAGCAGGCGATTGCATAACATTGCCAGCAGATGATGATGATGATGATGATGTGCTGCTGCTTGCTGTCGTACCGTAAGCGTTTTGCCGTTCTAATTGCGTTGATGTTGTCGTTGTGACCGCTGTTGATGGGTTTAATGAGGTGTTTGATGTTAACGGTAATTGTTGTTGTTGCTGTTGACTAGCTGAGCGTGTTGATTGTGAAGGTGGAGGATGATCTGAATAAGAATATTAAACTCATTATTATTTTTTTTTTACTCGTTAATTACTTTGTTGTGCAATTATTATAATTTGTTTTAATTTACCTGCAATCGTAGATGTTGTATTTGCGGGTATATTAATTCCAGGTACATTCGCATTTGAAAGTGGCACTGACACATATAAACTAGGCGCATTGTTAGACGTATTTGCTGATGCAGATATACTAGTATTTATTGTTGTGCCAGCCGTTGTTGTTGTTATATTACCGCCATTTGCTGCCGCTATGGCTGCTTGTGCGGCCGCATAACGTTCTTCTCGTTCTTTCGCCACAGATGTCGACAACGAACTATTACCATTCGTTTTGTGGGTTGTTGGTGCCGAGCTCGTACTGACCTTGACCTCGTTGCCCGTTTGTTTTGCTGATGATGCATTGTTAGCGTTGCTTGATGTTGTTAATGTTGAGGAATTAGAACTTGTTGATATAATGGCTGCCTCTCTACTACACTGTGAGGTAGACTCTGCTATAGACGCCGTTGTTGTTGTTTGATGTGTGGGAGGACTAAGTTCGGTTTTTTGCTGAAATGAAAATACATTAAATTAAATTAACAATTCGAATAATAAAATATCGTTTTTCAAAGTATACAAGTCGATTTATTATATTTTTTGCAGATCTCTGATCATTTTCTTAAATCTTGAATCAAGCAAAATGCAAATTGATTAACCTAATACTTTTCGCTATGAGAAATTCCAGGAAAACAATATTGCATTTTGGTTGAAACTTTTTGTAGGTTCTTTACAATAACTTGTTTACGAAGATGCAAATCACTCTATGTGCTCGTTTTTATACCCTATGCCACACTTGGGTGTGCGTAATCAGTTTGTGAAGAACACGGAGAAGGACTTGAAGTGCAATCACCTTTTTTTTAATATGACATTCTGAATCGATCCAAGCTTACTTGTCTGTCTGTCCGTCTGTCCGCCTGACGTCTTGCATTGCATCTGCAGATCGCAGTTATTCAAACATTTTGATGAAATTTTAGGAAACTTGCGTGTTTTGGCCCAAGAAGGAAGACATTGTTCGTGTCAGATCACCTTTTCGACATTTTCCCATATAAAGCCTTATTTTGAATTATTATTAGCAATTAACTGGATCCGGCCTCTTTGGATAATTGGAATCTAAATTACGCTGCAAAAATTCAGCCACAGAGAGTATGCTCATCACCCACAAAATGTGTATGACATAAAATTAGAAGTTTGTAATGAAACGATTTGACAAAGTGTGAAAAAATATTTTCTATAATACAATAATAGATGCAATACCGCACTCGTTGGAAAAAAATGGGGGAAAAGAGAGACAGGGAGTTCCTGCGCGGAAAAGGCTGCATGCCTCAACCAGAAAATGATATGCCTTAACCGACTAAGCATTCTATGTAGTTGCAACGAACATATATCAATTGCATAATTAAGAAACACCAAAAGTGCTGTTACGAAAACCTCACCTTTCATAAAGTCCATCTGCACAAAAACTAACCCATTTTCTAAGAAATCAAATTCTAAAGACGATAAAACCGAATACAAATTCATCATCTGAATTATCTGCCGACGCAGCTGGCGACTTGCGGTAGGAGTGATCACAATTCCCAGAACATTTCACAGGTGGAAAGGGTTCGTATGAAAACATCACAATAAGGCATTCGCAGCTTATTTTCAAAAGGGCATATAAGCAGGAATTTTGCGTACAGCAAAGTCAGCTGAATCAAGAGATTTGAATCGGAACAAGGTTAAGTTTCAAGAGAAATCGGATGAATATGCAAAATCATATACGACAGTTAAGGTCACAGTACTTTTATTTGTTTTTATTTTGAAAGTAAAAAATCTTACACCGGCGGCGCCAAGGTAGAAATGCTATCCGCTGTTCTACATAAGTTCTTTAGTGGTTTCGTCGATTCCTTATAAAGCGTCTCCCACCAAGAGCGATATTTTCTAGTATCAAGTATATCTATAAATTTTTTTGGTTTGACTCAGGTGCGAAAAAATTCAATACAATTTACTGTTTCAGCGGCTCACGTTCTGTGAACGTTTAAGAATTTTTTTTTAAATCTTTCTCTGTAAACATCGCCTTGGTCGCTTAACTTAACACACACTTTTTACCCTTGGGGCTAGCGGACACTTGTCAGGCAAGTGCACCCATTGTGGGACAGAGTGATTGAACAGTTGGGCCCATCTTGTGTGATGTGCATCAACGTGTTGAAAGTCATGATGGACGAACAAGATTGAATTGAGAATTTGATTCAGGTCATAACTGCAATGACCAAGCTTAAATTATTTTGGTTCTTTCTTTTCGAACTTTTAAGTAAATAAAATGATTATGTAGTCGGCCCTAGGCACTAAGTACCTTACACGACGGTTATTCAGTTGATGGTTGGGATTCATATGATGACTTTTCAAAACGTTATATGCGAAGTGATTAAAAAAAGTGATCCGATCGGAACCATTTTCGATAACGTTCATGCTTGAGTCAAAATACGTCAGTGGACCAAATTTCATCGAAATATCTCAAAAATTGCGACCTGTAGGTCAGACAAAAGGAGACGAGATGGGCAGAGGGACATAGTGTTTCTGAGTACATGGTGGAGTCGGTCTCTACTTCTTTTGATTGCTGCATACATCCGCACAAACTTAATAGATCCTTGCATCGCAAGGTGTGTAGGGTAAAAATGTCTCACGATTAACGAGGGAGACGCTTCAGTTTGCGACATAAACATTACTAGTTTTGTCTATAAATTTTTTTTTTTCCTTTAAATAATGCAAAGGGAACAGCTGAATTTCTGATAGAATAGATCGCTTTCCTTGCTGAGAGCACTTTAAGAAAGTGAACTTTTTAAAGTCTTGTTTTCAGTGAATCGAAAAGAATTGACAATTTTTATTTAAGCTGGAATTAGCAATACTAGATGTGGATCTGCAGTGACGTTATACCTTAGCACTATAACTTCATATAGCTCTTAGAAATTACTTCATTTATTTCGGCACATATGAAGGCAACTTCAAACACGTTTCATTTTTGCTACACTTATTATGCGAGCTAAAGAATAAATTTTATTTGTTAATAAAAATATATGGGGCTCTACTCTTAATTGCGAATCGAATTGCCTTAGCAAGTATATAGATTTCTAGAGAAAAAAGTTTTGGATGGATGGATTTTTGTAGAGAGACAACAAATTGTATGCAAGCACATATTGAGAAAGTCCATTAAATTTTTTTTTTCATATTTACGAATCGATTATTCGCTACTCTGTATGCATATTAATAGATTTTTCGCACTTTTCAAAAGGTATTCTCTCATACAACACTCAAAATCTATTTCAATCAATGACTTTTATACATACATACATGCATATCAATTTTATGCTTTTCATGCACGAATAGATAACAATCCGTGTCGAACCGAATGCAAAGACTTAAGAAGTCCACAGATATCTGTGATAAAGTTAAAAAAAAAAAAAAAAAAAAGTTTACGTATACAAAATCGCTAATAAAATATATGTAAATATTCTATTTAATTTTCCACATGCGTACGTTGCGTTCTCTCAAATTCCTTCCGGTATAGACAAAAAAAAAAAAAAAACAAAAAAGACATCTATACTCTATATGAGGAATATAATACATTATAATTCATACACAAACATCTGTTTTCTGTAGGAAGAGTTAGTAGAAGAATAAACTAACTAAAATAAACGTCCAGTTTACGCATGCAAAGTGAGAGAGAGAGAGAGAGAGAGGGGGAGATATATAAACGAGATAACAGCGAAAACATATTTAAGAGAAGAGAGCATAATTACATCTCATTTTTAAGAGAATTTCTCTGTATAAGCAAAAAAAAAAACAAAAAGAAACAAAAATAAAGTGCACAGAAGTCGCTCTCTAACTACAAATTGAAAATAAATCACACAAAAGAAAGAAACAATGATAATAATATGTACCTTGTCCGCCTATATACATACATATATACATATATATATATATATATATATATGGCTAAAATAAAGTATTTTGTATTCGCTTAAGCTCATATGGTAAGAAATATGATTGGAAAAAAAAAAACCAAAAGAAGCAAACAAAAAGTCCCAACAACAAAACAACCGGAGCAACTAACTACACACCAATAGCAAGCAAAGCCAGCATAAATGTTGTGCTATAACATCTTAGCAAGTGCTTGTTGTATGCGTGTATATATCCCTGGCATACAGACGAGCCAGCAGCGTTAAAGCGACAGGTTGAATGTACTAAAGAAAAACTAGAAAAGAAATAGTAATAATAATAAATAAATGAAATGAAAGAAATAGCAAATAACATAATGTTTGTTTGTTTGTTTGTGTACATTTATTATGATTGTGTTGATCTAAGTGTACATCTATCAACATCAAATGGATAAAAATATACATATGTAAATACAGTGTTGTTGTTCGTGTTTATTTGCAGGCAAAAATTCTTGTTAATTTTTTTTTGAAATTAAATTCTTTGTCTATGTTTTCTAGTCGTCTTATTGGCTGCTTTTTTATAAATCAAAATTTGCTGAAAAACAAACAAAAATATCGTCACAGCGGTGGCCACATTATAAGCAACAGTGTAGAAAAACGCCGTTTATTTTAAAACTACACTTTCATTTAGATCCATCATCAATTTTGTTGTTATTTTCTTTTTTTTTAGTTTCATAGTGAAGAAGAAGAAGAGAATTAACTGGAAATAAGGAAGTCTTTAGCATATCTAGCGGGTTTCTATAAGAACGACGCACTATTATTACGTGAAGTTGTTGTGTATTTTTGCTGGCCGTTGACGCGCACTGCTGTTGCTGTCGCTATTGCTGTTCTTAGTAGAGTCTTGTAGTAAAACAATTATATTCCACAAATTCAAGAAATTAGCTTTCAAGTCATTTTTAACATCCAGTCAAACAACAAACAAACAAACAAAATATATAAAGCCAACGGATGGCTGCAGTTACGCACGACATAAAAATGTGCAGCGAACCAGACAACAACAACAATAACAACAACAACAAACACAAATAACACCCGCTGAGTTGTATAGTTGAGAAAAAAAAAAAAAAAAAAAAAGAAAAGAAAAGAAACTACAATAACAACAACACCAGCAGCAATAACGAAAAATTCTCTATAGAAAAACGTATATAGCATGCATTTCATAAAAATGGTATTTTTTTTTCAGTTTTATTTTAATGTGAGCGCAATTTTTCCGCTTTTTTGTTCAACAGGATTCACGAGATATATTTTGCGGTTTTAAATTAGACAGCAAACATACCAAAAACAAATTATACAATTTAAACCGAATTTCTCAACATTCAAGCGAGACGAGATGCAAAGGCAAAACGTAACTAACTTCGCCTCCTCAACGACTTTCGCTTAGTTTTACAAAAATAAAAGTAGTACCGTCACTTAAATAACTCTTAGCTAACTAATGGTCGGAGGAAGTGATCACGAGATTTCATCACATTTCGTCCAGAAATCATGGGACTAACAACACTGTTGCCATATCTGTCAAGGTATTTAAAAAATTATACGGAT